GGATGTTTTGGTCTGATAATGTGGTCCGTAAATGTAAAATACTTGGTCGGTAACTGAAAAAAGGGTTATTTACGGAACGTGGTTCTTGAAAAAGAGGTCGTTATTCTGTTACCAGAGAACAACCTACGATTTTGTATGGTGAATCCAGGGTACGGTTCGAAAGTCACCAAATACCAACCACAATCTTGATAGCGGTTGACAATCGGTAGTCTGAAAAAGCGGTTGCTTATGAACCTCTATCTGAGCCATCTCCTGGTTCTGTGTCAGTGTGGAAAATAATTAATATTTTGAAAAAATGAATCAATTTCCAATTGCACATTTTTTTTCAAGAGCTCTTATTATTATCATCAAGCGTTGACTCTGATGATTATGATGATGATATAAGAGAATTTTGAATTGACTCGGCCGTTACTTGATGGAAATCCATGGTAAATATAAAAACTTCACAAACGATAAGATTTCCACAAAATTCTCAAATACACTAGTTTTACAGATATATGAGAAATCCGAGACCCATTAGGTAAAGAATATGATGTCGATGTAGGTTCATATACAGATGAATAATGAAATTTTCTTAGAACTTATACCAAGAATTTGAAATTTTGTAGTGGACAATTATAGTGATGAAGAATTCCGGGAGTATCTCAAAATATTTAGGGGTACTCTTGATCAAATTCTGTCATTGATTAAGGATAAAATAAGTGCAGATGATGCAATTGGTAGACATTCTGTCCCCCCTAAAGACCAGCTGTTACTTACACTCTGGTACACCAGATTGTTACATGTAGTTTTTTCAAGTTCCATCTATTATATTCTCCAGATGATATCATAAGAATGAGTATATAAAGGTATCTAATTGAAGCTATCGGTATTTCTTGAATATAATTCCAATAACAACATATTATTTCTCAGGTCCATCTGCAGTCGTTTCAACTTTGGCAAAGCCACTGTCATAAGGACGGTCAGAGGAGTAACTGAAGCATTATTGGAAACTATGCAACTGTTCATCAAATGGCCCAGGGATGATTATATTCAAGCAGTTAAAACAGCTTTTGAATGAATGGGCTGGGTTTCCAACTACCTTGGGAGTAGTGGATGGTTGCTACATTCCAATTCCAACACCGAAAAACAAATACTATTTACTGATCACTAATCACTAACTATAGATAGATATTTCATTCTAGATCAATATTTCTTATTTAGATTGAAGGCAGTTCGTGATAACCAGATGTTGTTCACACATTGTTATGTGGGGGAAGTAGGATCAACACAAGATGCCAATGCCAAGAGGAAGTGAACTTTACACTTAAAAGATTTGGAAAATTCGAGAATGATTCTCATCTTGTTGCTGACAAAGCATATTCCTGTTTGTCAACAATGATGATTCCTTATAAAAATAATGGTTATCTGACAAACAGTCACAAAAACTTCAATCACAAGTTATCATGTGTGAGATCCACTATAGAACGAGCTTTTGCTTTACTGAAAAAGAGGTTCAGGTGTTTGAAATATTTTGATATCAAAGATATTGAAAGGGCTTGTAAATATATCATGGCATGTTGTATTTCACACAATATTTGCATTATACAAAACGACATCATGGAAATAAATGTAGTAGAAGCAGAAAATGTTCTGGTGAATGAAGTTCCAGTACAAGAAAATGTAAATATAAGACAACTCCACAGGTTAGGAATACAAAAACGGAATCACTTGTGTGAAATGTTGAATAATGAACAATAAATTTATGAAAAGTAGAAAATATTGTTTTATTATGATTATTACCAATACTAGGCATCAGGTACTAATACATCTATATGAGGAAACAATAATGATAGGTAATATAACGTATAGGTACCCATACTACAGAGAAACAAATAACAAACTCAACAATATTGAAAAAAAAACAAAACATACAATACTCTGCTTTTAGGATAATGCAGATTCTCAACACAAACAGATGTGGGTATCAAAAACTTCAAATTTCAGCTAACAAAAATATTCATCTTGAAATGTTTTACTTCTCATTGTATTTATTATTTTTTGAAATTTTCCTTGAACCATTCAAACATTTCTTTTCTTTGATTGATTTTTTCTTCATGGCGTAATTGTTTTCTTGCCTCAATGTCTGCAGCAGTGAGTGGTTTACTTGGCTTATCCTTCTGCTTAACCTTTTTGGAATGGTTTCCATATTGCTCCTATCAATTTCCAAATCATCCACATTTCTTTTCTTGCTCACACCTGTACTGGATAAGGTAAACACAGGATTGAAATGTGGATCATTGAAATATATTTCAATCCCCAGTATGTATTGGCATTCCCAGTGGATTTTTTATATTCAGAAACTTTATCATAAGTTTTCTTAAGATTACGACATTTCTCATCACATTTTTGGCCACTTTTGAGTATTTCGAATTCTTCCAGCTTTTCACTGATAATCTCACGAACTCCTTCTTTTGAATACATGGGCGACTCAAATTTATGTTTGTTTTCTTGATAAGTAGTAATGAGCAGTTTAACAGCTTCATTAGACCATCCACGATGTGGATGGTGCTTCGAGATCATTATCCTCTGAATTTTTATGATTTTCTAGTAATCCTTGGCCCCTGATCTTGTTATTCATGAATGGTACTTCAGGATCATTATCCTTTGAATTTTTATGATTTTCTAGTAATCCTTCGCCCCAAATCTTGTTATTTTGTAAGTCCACAGAAACAGTGCCATAAAAATTAAAACATGAGTGATCAAGACCATCAACAGAGTCAATAATCTTGTCTAGTGTTCCCAAAGGTTCATCACAGTATCCACATAACATCACATCACTTGAAATATTGATTGTTTCCTAAAAATTCAATTAACAATGGAAAATGTGTAGATTGAGATATTCTATTAACTCACCATGTTTATTTCATTTTAATGATACAACACAATCGCTGTAATCATCACATAATTTGAGATATTATTGTTTCTTAATGGAATAACAGATTCCATCGAAATTACCGAAGATACCAACAAAATTTGGCGGTAGATTTATTGACATTTGGTTAACCATACTTCAGGTGACCATGTTCCGTTAGTAACCATTGTTTCAGGAATATTTTAGTTACCAATCATTTCTGACCAGAAAATCATAACCGTGGTGACTTTCGGACCATACCCCTAGTTTGTTGTTATTCATATTTTGGTGACATGTGACGTTTTCAAATCAATTTTAACAAAATAGACTTTCTGACTCAGATTTTGAATCTGGTGGAATAAAATAATTATCGAGATTGATTCATTTATACACACTGAGGAGGTAACACATATCATATTCATAAATAATTGAGTTTGATGACACCAATTAACTTCCAGCCAACTGCTTTATTTTCATGTGGCTATTGGTCCCTGGCGATGGGCAGTTTATCATCCCTAATAAAAAATCGAATATTAGCAGGGCATGGATGTTTCAGATATTGTGAAAATGTAACCGTTGATTATGAGAATAATGAAATATTCGAAGCTGATGCTGACGAGGAATTAGAGGAATCTGTGTATTCAGGTAATGATCCCAGATAACACAGAAACGTCCCGAAAATGTCCTCAAACCGTACACCTCGTACATTGTGAACGTCCCCAAAACGTACGTATTAGGTACGGCGTACGTTTCCAGGACGTTGTGGGGACATACGATGTTACACAACCAGAGGTCCCCAGGAAGTACGATCAAGGTCCTGTTTGGGTCTGAACGGGACCTGCATAGGACCTGCTTCGTACATATACAGCTCTCACTTATATTGGTAATTCTGTTGTATCTCTCAATATACAGGGTGTTACAAGTTCGTGGCTAAGCATGGAAATCTCGGTATCCGCAACAGATACAGAGTAGGTCAAATTAGGGCAAAGTTGCGCAATTTCATGTTCACAAAAATGCTGCTTTGGAATTGGAAAATGTGTTTTCAATTGTTTCTCAGCTTATTAGAAGAGATATTCCAAAATCAAGGTCACATATCATCATTGCCACTTCTCCTGCTCTACAAAATGGAATTGTCAAATTGGAAATCCGACATTTCTTCTTCGAGTCCGTAATTGAAAAAATTAAGTTGATGACGGCCGCATGAAGAAAAAACGTCGGATTTCCAATTCGACAATTCCATTTTATAAAACAGGAAAAGTATGGCAATAATGACATATGTGACATTGATTTTGAAATATCTCTTCAAATAAACTGATCAACAATTAAAAACACTTTTGCATATTTTTCGGAAATAATTGAAATTTTTCCAATTTCAAAGCAGCATTTTGTTGTGCATAAAATTGCTCAACTCTGCCCTAATTTGACCGTCTCTGCATCTCTTATGGTTACTGAGATCCCAATGCTGAGCCACCAATTTGTAACACCCTGTATACAAGGTGCACATGAAGGATAATTTTCACTAATAACACAAGAATTAAGTTAAGTTTAATCAATTACTCATTGATAAGAGTGTGTTTTTTGAGAAAATATAATATACAATTTGCTTCTTATATTTGAATATTAAACAACCATTTTGTAATGGCACATTTTTGTACCATAATTAGCTTTGAGACCAGTCATCAAATTATTAAAAACATGAATGAAGAGAGAGGTTGAATGAAAAAAAAAACATTCTGGAGATGATACTGTAAATTTAATAAACTTTCAATTCTTCTATGAAACAAGGGTCCAAAAGATCCAATAAATAAAAACATTGTGAAGATGATATATAAGATGTGAGTCCTACAATATTTCAACACAGCTGCCTTGTAGCCTATAAAGTATTTCTATACATCTTCCTGCAAGGATGACTAACTAAGCAATAACAAAAAGTAAAAAAAAAATAAAAGAACATTTTCTATTTCAAAACAAAATAACGAAGTTGAATAAAGGAACAATTCATGTATTAAAAATTAAAAAAAAATAAGTCATAAAAGTTTAAGAAAGAAAATAGTACAAAACATAAGAGTGTCCCACCAAGAGCACCTGAATTAAATTTGGTATCAAATTATTGTCGTTTGTTGTCCTTCGCATTCAGTCTTTCCACTGACCTCTTCAGCCATGACTGAACTGCTGATTCAGCCTCTTTGTAATTTTTGGATACTCCAGCTTTCTCTGCAGCTCCTTTGAAAAAACAAGTAATATTTCTCAAGGAACAGGTATATTTAATGACTTGTTGATAATAAAATATCAATGGAATATTTTTTTTTGAGAATAATTATTATTGTCAGAAAACTGAAATCCAACAAGATTTTTTCGGATCTACAGTGAACACTCGTGAGTTGACCAAATTCACGTAAATATCAAGTCAATTTTTATTTTTGAACCTGTGTTGACACATTCTTCAGTATGATTGTGGCAGTTATGACTTATTCAACAGTTGTTTTTTTAATAGTAATCACTCTATATATTAATGATAAAAATATTTCATTGAATAGTTAGAAGCAGTTGAAACATAATGAAACTTACTGACTACAATCTTCGACAAGCTTGAAAGATGGAATGACCTTTTCCCTTTTCTGCCATAAAAGCTATATTGCCTGGCCAGATTATTTGTAATTGATATGGTCAAGATTCGTTTAACAAAATTATAGCAAATTGTTCCACCATATTTTGAGAGTTCATCGATCTGAAGAAATTATACAAAAAATGAAAATAGGCACATGAGGTTTTAATATACTGATCAAGGATACTAGAAATATAGAACCAGATTCACACATTTAGGTTTATATTGATTGCATATAATATTTTTTGAATAATGAATTTTGAGGTAAATTTATATAAGAACTTACTGATTCAGATGAATCATTTTCATTCGCCATTATATAATCGAACTTTTCCATTTCATCAACAGTATCCATTGGGAAATTCAAAGTAGGATATCTGATGAACATAGAAGTGTTTTCTTTTTCCCTAGGTTGGATTGTGTAATTCATTAGCATATTTTTAAATACATGAATTGCCCCTAATACCTCGGAAGCAATGCCCCTCATTACATGGTTCTGAGATACAATTTGTTTCAAATTCTTATCTAAAAAACCAACATACATTTAAAAAAAATCGTTTCTGACTAATTTAATAACATACCTTCAACCATTTGTGTGCAGCATTGCGGACACTTTTGATTACATCCTTCACTGGATTTCAAGCCTGAAATGAAATTTTTATGTAAAAATTTTTATAAATTACCTACTTGAGATTCTTGAACTTTATGTGGCATGTGATATTACTTATTTTATATCATGAATAGGATCTGAAACATCATAAACAAGTTAATCCAATTCCTGATCATATTTTTAAAACTCATATTGAAACCCAATCGGAGATATAATATATATATATATTAGATATTCACTTCTGGGAGTTCTCAAAAATTGAGAGGAATCATTCTCAATCCCTGCTAATTCTAATTCTTCATGAGTGAAAGTTTCCTCCTGAGTACTTATCAGTTTATCTAGAAAATAAATAAGTAGTTAGTATATAGTAACTGAATCTTCAGAAAAAAATTAGTTTTGTCACAAATTGTTTAACAAAGTATGGAAGACCTTGTGTAGGCAACTTGTCTTGTGATTCAAGTTTTGTTCCTGCCACCACCTGTATATTAAATATACTATCCAAAATTGGAAAAGATCAGCCCTTACTTCTACTGAATGATATACCTACCAGCAATTAGTGTATTATTCTGAGATTGCTGTGAACCTTGAGTACTTCTTGGGCTATCTGAAATGTAGATAATATTTGAAATAACAATAAGTGTATGTAAACAGTGACTGGCATTATCAATTCTTGTAAACATGAGGAGACTTTGCTCCTATTAAATGGGAATTGCTTGGAAATTTATCCTCATGCATGTTGATGTTTGAAAAGATTTCACTTCTTCTGAGAACAATAGCATCATGGTTTGATTCCCCAGCATAACAATGAATGAACTTCATTTTGTCATCAAAAATACCCTGAAAAAAAAAGGTATTTATTATAAGAACAAGGGAAAAAAGTATTAGATTTTAGCTCCAGGTTATGATGTCTCCAGATGCGTACGAGGGGGGGGGGAGGGGGTTACAACAAACCAACACAATAATGAAAAATATATTAAACATTAACACAAAAGACAAGACACTTGGGTTTTGAGACACACTTACTTGCAGAATTAAACTTGGGAAACCCTTTCTATTGATATAGGATAAACCATGATCTTTTGGCTTTGGAATCCTCACATGCATCCCATCGATGCATTCAATTGTATTTTGGAAATCTCGTTTCACTGAATCCGTTTATAACTTCTTACAAGTATTCATCTATTGGCCATTTACAGATGTTTTCACTCAATGAACTCAGAGCTTCAGTTACTCTTCTGACTGTCCTTGAAGCTGTGGCTTTCCCTATATTAGAACTACCACAAATCGATCTGAAAATGTAAGAAAGCAGAGATTTCACATCAGGGAACTATGATGAATATGGTAGGAATTTAGTAGAGGTATTAGATGAACACCATGAATCCATACCTGTTTGAGTCTGGTGTCCCGAAATGCCATAGAGCTATTAATAGTTGAGCTTTGGAGGATAATGTGTGTCTTCCTCTATCCTATACCTGATGAATAATGTTCATCAATCATCAAACATATATGGTTGAAAGTAGCCCTGTTCATTCTGAAGTTCTCCCTGGAATCTTCATCAGGATATTGTACTACCACTTCTTCAATATAACCCAGCACTCTGGGATGAGGAACAAGTAAATAAAAATATAATTGTAATATACATTAAACCGACATTGAGGAATATTATCAATTTCACGATTGATTATGAAACATTTCCTCATCCATTGGTCCTCTTGCCTGACCTTCATCCTCACTTTCACTAGTTGTACTGGATTTATCAGAATTGATG